GGGGCGGGAGGGTGCGCGCGGCCGCCCGCCCGCAGCCCCGAGCGCGCCGCTTTTGTACGGGCTGGGCCCCCTCACATATGGAAATGACGCCCGCGCCGGTCCCCCTCGGCGTCCCTTTGAAGGACGCCCGCCCGGAACCGCGGCGCGGGCTGCGGAGTATTGTCCCGCGTCCCCAGCCCTAACAAAGCGCGCTCCTTGGCTCTGCAGGGCAGCGGAGGCGGGCGGCCGGCGGTGCGGGCGCTCCGGAGAGGCTGACAGAAGGTAGGCGAGGGCGGCGGGGGCCCGGCGGGCGTTAATGTCCGCTGGACCCCGCGGGGTGACCGAGGGTCCTGGTGATGGCGAGGTGCCGGCGGGTGAGAGGCGCATCTTAGGATCGCCTGGGACCCGGACGCTTCTCCCGCCCGCCCGCCCGCCGGCCACACCTCCGCCTGCCGGTCCTAGGGCGCCGCGCGGTTCGGGCACCGCTGCCCGCCCGGTGTTCCCCAGTGCAGAGCTGAAAGCTGCTGCTGTCTGTGATCCGAGCGGACCTGATTGAGTCCCACGGGGAGCGGAAGGGGTGAGGGTTCTGTTGGCATGTGCCACCCAGACAGCCCTAGAAGTGAGGAGCCGAGAGAAGCCCTGGCGATCGGTGGAGCGCACCGCTGTTAGGAGTCGAAACGGGAGGACGCGGGTGGGATCCGTGCCGCCCGAGACTTCCCCGGTGCCACTACCCGCCAGGAAAGGGGAAGCAGACTCAAGGGCACTGGGTCACTCGCTGAAAGTTCCGATCAGCAGAGCTGAGAAATGGGAAGCGTGGAGGGTGTCCGTGTGGCGAGGGCGAGCTTCCAGATCTGGGCATCTGTAGCTCTCAGACAGGCAAAGCGGATCGAGAAACCGTCTGCTTAAAACTCTTTCTGGGAAATGATAGAGACAGGCAGACAGACAGTAAGGAGCAGTTTTCCTGGGCTCGGTCCTGCAAGCCAAATAAAATGGGGGCTGGACTGTTGTCCTTCTGTAGATCACGTTTCCAGACAACTTGGTTATTACTGATCTTTTGCTCTCCTCACTGGACTAGGACAGATCGCTTCCTGGTGTTGAGGAATTACTGAGACAGATCTCCCATACAACTCAATCCTGAGTTATCAAATCCCAGCTGATCACCCTTTTATGACGGACACAGAAGCTTTTTAGGATAGGAATCCTGCTGAAGTGCCTCCTGGCACCTAAGCGAGGCTCCTGAGACCCACCGTGGAAGATTTCTCGCTTGGGTTCCTTTAGATCCGCTATCATAAATTTAGATCTATTTGCATGCTTCCCAAGGCTTGACAGTCTGCAAACAGGAAATATGTTCGTATAGAGTAGTTTTATCTTCTCTCTCGTCTAGTGTTGAGCATATTTGTTATGGAATATGGTGGCAGCTTTGGAATCTTTGGTAGATCTTGCTGTACCTATAGTTTGAAAGTAGCTGTGCAATATCCAGGCTGTGTGTAAAAGGAACGTTACAGGCTGGCTGGAAAATGAGTTTGTGTGGCCTTTTTAGCTATGCCTAGTGTTAATGGGGAGGTGATGTGAATTAAGGGGAAGAGGATGGCAGATTTGTTTATTTTCACCTGGCTCATCGTTAGAGGGAACTGCAGTGAAGATAAAGCAAATAGGTTAGATATAAGCAAATGTATCAGCAACACAGGCTTTAAAGGGGGTGATGGAGAGGAAGTCCTCCTACAACATCTAAAATGTCAGGGATCAATCATTTTAATAAGCACTTGCACAAAATGTCATGCATTTTCTTGTTACTTCTTTTTTTCATTTTAGGTAGACAATGACCCTTCATATAAAAAAGACAATAACTCACACGGGGAGAATAGGATTCCAGTCAATTCTGAATAGTCTTAATAGGTAAAATTCTTATCACAAGTCAAATGTTGTTCACACCATTTGTTTTAAATGTCACTGCCAATGATGTTCTAAACCAACATTTCAACAGTCTTAATGCTTCCATTTTATGTTGATAATGAAAATACATTTTATCAGTTTCATTTTGATAAGGGCTTAGCAAGTTTAGCCAGAGTCTTTTAGAGAGATTCAAATAGCCTAAAGCCTTTTCAAAAGGCTTATTTTTATGGATGCTAATTCATTTGTAAGCCAATAAATAATGCAGTTTGAATTCTGGCTATTGATCTTGCATCTATTGGACTAGGCCTTGTGGTGAAGCTTACTAAACTTTGCAAAAAGATATTTTTATCCTATCTCCAAATAAAACAGAGTTTAAAAAATCATATGAGATCAGCCAGGTGTCTGTGGTTCACACCTGTAATCCTAGATACTCAGGAAGTTGAGATCTGTGGATCAAGGCTCAAAGCCAGTCTGGACAGTAAAGTCTGTGAGATTCTTATCTTTAATAAAACTACCCAAAAAAAAGTTGAAAGTGGAGTTGTGGCTCAAGTGGTAGAGCACTAGCTTTGAGCAAAGAAGTTCAGGAACAGTGCCCAGGTCCAGAGTTCAAACCCTAGGACCAGCACCAAAAAAAAAAAAAAAAAGAAAGAAAGAAACGAAAAGAAAAGAAAAGAAAGAAGAAAAAAAACGATAATAGGATTATGAAAGTAAGAAAATTTGTTAGAAATAAGTACACTCCTTTATTGAGGTTGCTAAAAACAATTAGGCAGGTATTAGAACTTTTATATAGGAAAATTGACAAAGTATCAGCACCCTAAAAGTTGGTAAAATACTGTAACAACAGGAGCCTTTTTTGGGGGGGGGCTGTCCATCATGGGGATTGAACTCTGGGCCTGGGCACTGTTCCTCAGCTCTTCAGCTCAAGGCTAGCACTCTACCACTTGAGCCACAGTGCCACTTCAGGTTTTCTGGTGGTTTATTAGAGATAAGTGTCTCATGGACTTTCCTGCCTGGGCTGGCTTTGAACCGGGATCCTCTGATCTTAGCCTCCTGAGTAGCTAGGATTACAGGTGTGAGCCACCAGCGCCCAGCAACAGGAGCTTTTTACTTATACCCTAGGGAACTGTTCTCTTTCTTAGCTTCTGTCTTCCTATACCAACTCCAGTAAATATTACTCAAGAAGTGAAAGTTATGATAAAGCTTTCTCTTTTAGAAGAAAGTAACAATGACACATCTCTGGTTTCTGCTCCGACAATTTTGCTTAGTAGTTGATTATAAGCTATTTGATCTACATTGTGCTAAGCTTGTGTGTGTGTGTGTGTTTTCCCTTCTCTACCCCGGATTGGATAATCCACTGTTGTTAGGTTTAGCAAAAAACCTAGGTTTGCAACAACCTTCAGGGTAGTAAAACACTAACACTTGTTTATGTTTAGAATAAATGCCAATAGGATACTTGTCATCCAATTAAATTTTATGGTATGGTTAGCAAAGGTTGTTAGTCTCATTCAATTTCATTGAAGTATGCCTTTTTCCTGCCCCCTCCCTCCCCCCCCCTGCAGTGACATTTAAGCTTTCATCTAACATTTTTATACTGCAGTGGAATTCCTGGTGATCTGTGCTGCCTTGGGTATCCAGCTAGAATGGTGCTCTCTGAGCAGGGAGGAGGCTGCCAGTCAGCACCAGTTTGTTGCAGAGAAACAGCAATGGTTTTTGGCAGAAGTGCTCAAGATAAACATGCAAATCGGGACAGTTGCTTTTTCTGTCGAGCTTCTTGCTAAACTTGAATTTATTTTCTTCACTGTTGCCTTTTATACTGAAATTACTTCAAGATTCTAGGCGTGGAGATTTCTTCAGCAGATGAAAATGTTTGCAGAACAGAGAAGAAAAAGAAACCTTGTAATTTGATCATAAACATTATTAGCCGCTGATTTCCAACCAATGACAGCTAAAGGGGTAAATGACAAGCAGTTTGTGTGTATCACTTTAATCCCAGTGTAACTAAATTAGGCACTTAGTGGTTACTGCCTGGACCCCCAACAGCTTTGTCTGCATACAGGTCCAAAAGCATCTATTATGATGCTCTGAAGAGGGAAAGAGGCTGAGTGGAGAGGGATGTCCACACATTCTGCAGAGTTGCTCAGCTGCTAGACCATCTGGAGGGGAAATAAAAGGTCTGGGCTAGGGGCTCTGGCATTGTGCGTATTTATTATTTGCTTTTCACTTGCCAGACTTTGTCCCCTTTCACTCCCTCCCACCCTGAACAGACACCTGCCTTGGCTGGGGTACTATTCTTACAAACTTCTTTCTGTGTGCAGGCTGTTGGAAAGTTCATAAGTTCGTATAGCCCCTTCATACTGGCCTTCTGTTGGTGACTTCGTTACTCCAGCCACACCTTCACCTGTTTTGCAGTTCCAGCAAGGCTCTGTGATTTCAGAAGCTGGGGCTGCCAAGTGGGCACCACACAGCTCTGTGATGGACATTCTGTCAGAATTGGAGGCATTTTGGAGTTATATGAAGGAAAATGCTCCAAATAATTGTCAGTATGGGTGACTATTGGGTGGTCAGTGTTTTGATTAATGGCTCTGTGCATCTGACTCTTATTTATCCCTTGCTATTACTCCCAATTAATGCCCACACAGGCCATTTTATTCCAAAGGAGTCTTACAGGCTTCTGGACATTTGACTACAAGGCCTGTGGTGAAGAAAGGCACAGGTTTATGGCAGTGTCCATAAACCCTACATTGTCAATTTCAAGGATGATTTATCACTCAAAATACAACTCTTAAAATCTCTGAGCAAGATTCTTGCCACTATGGGTATGTAGGCTTTGATTCTGGAAAACATTAGATTTTGTAGGTTGTATAGATTTAAGAATTTATTTGAGGGATAATTCCTGAGCTATGATATTACTATAGATACAAAGTTCTTCACAATCATTTTACATAAAATTTTATTTCTTCAGACAGGCACTGGTAGCTCATGCCTATAATCCTAGCTACTTAGGGAGACTGAGATCTAAGGATCATAGTTAAAATTAGACTAGGCAAAACAAATCTGAGAGACCCATTTCTCTGATTAACCAGCAGATATCCACAAGTGGAGATGTGGCACAAGTAGTAGAACCTGAACCTTGAGTGGAAAAAGTTGAGAGTTTGAGGCCCTGAGTTCAAGCCCCAGTACCAGCACACATACACACACACACTCATACTTATTTCATCTATGTATAATTCCCCAAGCTGCTTTACGTTAAAAAAAAAAAAGCAGGGCTGGGAAGGTGGCTCAGTGGTAGAGCACTTGCCTTGCAAGCATGAGGCCCTGGGTTTGATTCCTCAGCACCACATAAGCAAAAAGAAAAAAGCCGGAAGTGGTGCTGTGACTCAAGTGGTAGAGTGCTAGCCTTGAGCTGAAGAGCTAAGGGACAGCGCCCAGGCCTAGAGTTCAGGCCCCACTACTGGACCCAAAATAAAAAATAAAAAAAATAAATTAAAAAAAAAGCATTTAATCTATTCGTGAATCCCTAGAGACTTGGAGGCTATAATCACTCGATAAATGGATAAAGTGAGGTAGAAGGGATATTGGCGTCTTGCCAATCCAGTTTGGAGAAATACGGCACTTCAAGGAGTGTCAGCAGTGATTATTGTTCTTCAGTACTGTGTAGCTGTCTGACTAACAGTGAAGGCAAGCAGGGCAGTGGTGGCATTTCAGTGGTCCCGTTATGTGCTCCATGTGCATGGGGAGGATTGAGGGATGTGTAATATAGGGCCAGACTTGAGTCATGTCTCAACTTTACCCGTTCCTGCATTAGTGCTAATGGGATAAATTGCTAATTTTGTTAAGCCCCAATTTCTCAAGTAGGGATAAGGTACTATTGACTCACAAGATCTGGGAGAATTAAGTGAGCATAGGCTAGACTTGTGAATGTTCAGAAATGAATAAGGATACATTCGTCTGAGTTTCCAACTAAATTTCAGCCTCTCTGCTTCTATTTGACATTAAATTTATCAATAATTTGTGAGTGTTGTCTGCTGCCATTGCTATATAATAATACAACCATGCTTTTGTACCTAATACAGCTATTGTCCACTCTTATGGTCTGTTCTGTGATGATCTTTGCTTCTTCTAAGGTAGCTCTAGCTGATCTCTTTTTTCCTTCCCTTTTGTGTGTGTGTGTGTGTGTGTGTGTGTGTGTGTGTGTGTGTGTGGCACTTGACCCTGTACTGGGGCTTGAACTCAGAGCCTCACATTTTTGCTTAATTTTTTTTTTTTTTTGGTCAAGGCTGGGGCTCTAGCATTTGAGCCACACCTCGACTTCTAGTATTTTGTTAGTTAATTGGAGATAAGGATTTCATGGGCTTTTTTGCCTGGGCTGGCTTTGACTGTGATCCTCAGATCTCAGTCTCCTGAGTAGCTAGAATTGTAAGCAGAAGCTACCAGCACCTCACTCTTCTCCCACCTCTCTCCCTCCCTCCCTCCCTCCCTCCCTCCCTCCCTTCCTTCCTTCCTTCCTTCCTTTTTTCTGTGGTTTGAACTTAGGGCCTTATAAGGTGCTCTACCACTAGAGCCACACCCCCAGTTGAATTTATTCTAAGCTTCTGCCTCCTTTGTAGGCTTCAGGTGTTTTCTTGTTTATTTTTCAATTCCTCTTGTATCAATTTCTCTTAGATTAATTAGCCTCTCTCTTTTGTTTGCAATATTTAACCTTTACAACTATCCTTACATTTGAGTGTTGTTATTCTAGTTATGTAAATGAAGGACCTGAGGCAATGTTTTAGTACAGATTCTTCTCCAAAGCTTATTCCACAACAGAAAAATGCAGGTCCAATTTGCAGTGTCTTCTCTAGTTCTGTTTGGTAGTTGCTCTTGGCTCTTTACTTCTGGTTGGTTATGTTGAAAACTGAAAATGTCCTTGTGAAGGGAAGTGGGAAGTGGTGATAGGTATGTGGGTATGGATATTTCAAAATATTTCTGTGCTCATTTCTATATTTCCAATTCAAGGTAAGTTTCCTCCCACAGAACACCCAGACAGTAAGTTAGGCCACGTCCTGGGTTTGATTCCTCAGTACCACATAAACAGAAAAAGCTGGAAGTGGTGCTGTGGCTCAAGGGTAAAGTGATATCCTTGAACAAAAGAAGCTCAGGGACAGTGCCCAGGCCCTGAGTTCAAGCCCCAGGACCAACAAAAACAACAACAAAAAAGAAATAGAAGGTGTGGACTTTGCCCTTAAAAGAAATTTCTGCCAAGTGGGGAGAAAAAAAATCTTGCACATGCAATTACCAAAGAACATTTGGAGAATTATATCAGTTAGCAAAAATGCATTTTGTGCCAGATGAGAACTGATAACTTGTCACTCTAGGTAGTGTCTCCTGGGTGTTTCAGTGAGAGTTTTGCATGTGGTCCACAGGAGTGGGGGTCCCTACCTCTTTCATTCCCATGAGCATTCTAGAGTTTGTGTCTTGGAAAGGCTAGAGATAAAAAGAAAGCTGCAAAAGCTAAGGAAGGGACGTGATAGCCTATCAAATTCAAAGGAGTGAATAAAATCAGGACTTCTCCATATTGATTTTTGTTTTGTTTTGTTCTCTTTCATTGTCTTAGATGAACAAGATGCCACCCCTTAAAAATAATTTTAAAAAGGGAAGTGTCAGCAAGCCTTTACTTTTGAGTTTTTAAACTTATACAAAAAAAAAGTCAAACAGAAAAAAGGGTCTGGCTTTTCCAGAGTTGGTCAGATTGCAGCCTAAGGGACTGTAAAACTTGAGTGAGCCTGAGAACTATGGTGACACCCAAAATCTCAGTGTACCTTGGGGATTCTCAGATCTTTGTTGACAATTAACTGGCAGACCCAGGTGAAGCTCATTAAGCAAGCTTTGTCCCTGTCTAAATTCCTACCTCTTGTGACTTTGTGTAACACCTTGGTGTTTCTTTAGTGATGCTTTGATATTTATATAGCACTCTTATTTTGAAAACATTTGCATACTGATTCGTTAACCCAACAGACCAACCCTGGGAAAGTAACCAGAGCCATCAGCACCTTAGTTGGTGGGGAAAGCCTGCTAATGGAAGAGACCTGTTGAGTCTAGAAGCCTGGACCCACACTCTGCTGTGTTGCTTTAATGAGTAGCTTTCCCCAGGCTGAACTGCCTGGCAGTGCTGTTCAGTCATCTTCTGAATCCACCTAGTTTTGCTAAGGTTGTGCCTCTGTTTTGTCTTGTCATGTTTTGAACAGTTGTCTATGAAGAGAAAGCAAACACAGCCTAGGGTAGCGCCAATTTGTCACTTACAGCTCTTTTATCTTCAATTCTGGCCATGTTTGACATCTTACTTCCATGTTCCCTGTGTTGTAACGATCAGCTTTTTGGAAGATCACCTATTTAGAGTTTTTTGATCTAGGGTTTAAAGGTGCCACTTTGGTTGTTTCTCTGGTGATGTTGAGGATTAAACACGGAGCCTTAGCCCATGCTGTACCACTGAGCTACTCTTCCAGCCCCTAGCTAATGGTGCTGTTTTTGTTGCTGTTGTTTTTTTTTTCTTTCTTTCTTTCTTTTAAGTCAGGGGGTTGGCTGAGGGCCCTGTTGCCAGTGGCTGACTGAGGTCACCCTCCCAAGGGTATATAGATATATATTGTGTTTATTGCATCATGGTACAGGTTTGGGGCTTGCATCAAAAGAGCCAGCCCATTAAAAAATCAGTCAGCGTGCAAGGAGAAAAACATCTTAAAGTGGGAAGTACCTGGAATTATATAAGGTATATTTTTAGCCAAAGATGACTCAGAGGTCTTTATGTCTGCAGAGTTTTACTGCTCTTTGGCATATGACACAAATGGAAAGCCTGGAGTTTGATTTGAGGCATCAGGGGGATGGAGGACAGATGAGCTAGGAGGTGCTTGAGTTGCTGAGGTTTCTTGAGATGCTGTGTGATCTGCCTAAACCACGCCATGCTCCTTCAAGCCTTTCTGTGGAAAAGGCTGGATTGTGTTTTCCTCTTGTCTAGGCAACAAAGCCTTATCTAAAGCTCCCTGGGATGAGAGTGAGCTCCAGGGACTACTTTTCCTGTCACAGTGCAGGCAATTGTACCGTGGAAACTAATTGAGTTGCTTTTTGAAGGTCTCATGTAAAAGGCATCTGGTCTCATGTAAACAGGAGGTGGTTTTTGTAGTGGGCATGCTCAGCCCAGACCTCTTGCTGCAGCCCTCTGCTCTAGCTATTCTAGGAAGCATCTAGGGCAAACAAAGTGGGACTAATCAACACAGCCAGGTTGTAGCATCTGGGCAGGTTATCTCCTGCTTTCCTACTTGCCTGGAGGTTAGTGCTGGTTGGAGCTAACAGCTGATTGGATCCACTGACTGTCAACAGGGACCTTTAAGTCCAGGTCAGATGTGCTGAGAAGAAGAGAGCAGCTCTTGGGCTTGGGCTTGAGTTTGACTGGCTATCACCAGAGGACCAGGAAGGAGAGAAGTTGTCTCTCTGGCTATCTGATGTCTTCCTTCTGGTAAAGTTCATGCCTGGGGATGCAAGCCTGTGGATGTGTTCCTGGTGTGGGTGCATGTGTGAACTCCACTGACCGGAGTTGGATCTTGGGGAGATGGAGCTTCTGCTCTTGAGTGTGCCAGAAACAGAGTATTATGCATATAGACAAAGCCCTGCAGTGGGTAGGGCTTGGGGGAGGTGAATGTGCCTTAGAATGACCCTTCCAACCTCTCCTTGTCTCTGTCCTGCACAGGTGAGCGCTGTGGGCTATGGGATGGATGAGGTGGAGCAGGACCAACATGAGGCCCGACTCAAGGAGCTGTTTGACAGTTTTGACACAACGGGAACCGGATCCCTGGGACAGGAGGAGCTCACCGATCTGTGCCACATGCTGAGCTTGGAGGAGGTAGCCCCGGTGCTGCATCAGACACTGCTGCAGGACAACCTCTTGGGCAGGGTAAGGTCTGGGGCGGACCTTCCTGTGGGAAGCAAGGTGTGGTTTCTGTTGGGGTGCTGGGGATGGCGCAAGCTGCATGTTGTAACTTGTTTCTAGCAGCTTGGCCGTTAACTTGGTAAAAAGCATGTAATGAGTGTGGCATAACTCTTGCTTTTTGCCCAGGCAACAAGGACATACTGTAGTTTGTACTCTGCAATGGAGTGGTACACTGAGTATTGTTAAGTAAAGAAGGCAAAAAGAATGCTCATCACCTATTTTCTTGTTCTGTGTGGGTCATACTCTGGATCCACACGCATCATTGAGAGAGAAAGGAGTGGAGAAATTTCCATGCAAGAGAAATGAGAGGCAGTTAAAAAAAAGAAAGAAAGAAAAAAAAAGAACAAAAACCCTGCCTTTTCCAGGTACTGATAGCTCACACATAATCTTAGCTACACAGGGGCTGAGATCTGAGAATTGAAGTTCAAAGCCAAAGCAGGCAGCCAAATCCATGAGTCTTTTATTTCTAGTTAACCAGCAAAGTGCTGGAAGTGGAAGTATGGCTCAAGTGGTAGAGCACTACCCTTGAACCACCCTCGAGCAGAAAAAGCTAAGTAAGAGTGAGACCCCTAGCTAAAGCCTCTATACCAACACATATACAAAGACACACACACACATACACACACACACAAAGAGGAGAGAGATGAGGTGGGGACGGGGAGGGGAGGGGACGGGGGGAGAGAGAGAGAGTGAGAGTGAGAGAGAGTGAGAGAGAGAGAGAGAGAGAGAGCTTGGCCCAATTCTGGACACAGTAGGGAATAGAAGAATAAAAAAGAAACCTATTCTTCAAAGGAAGAGGAGATTTGCTTTGACCCTTTATTCTTTTTGTTTGTTTGTTTGTTTTTGTTAGTTTGGGGCTTGAACTAAGGACTTGGGTGCTGTCTCTGAGCTCTTTTGCTCAAGACTAGCTCTCTTCCATTTCGATCCACAGCTTCACTTCTGGTTTTCTGGTGGTTGATTGGAGAAAAGGGTCTCACAGAGTTTCCTATTCAGATCTCAGCCTCCTGAGTTGCTAGGATTACAGGTGTGAACCACCAGTGGTTCTTTTGTTTTGCTCGGTTGTAGGGCTTGAACTCAGAGCCTGGGCTCTGTCCCTGAACTCTTTTGCTCAAGGCTAGTGCTCTACCACTTCAAACCACAGCTCTCCTTCTGGTTTTTCAATAGTTAATCAGAGATAAGAGTCTCTAATTAGCCGGGCACTGGTGGCTCACGCCTGTAATCCTAGCTACTCAGGAGGCTGTAATCCTAGCTACTCAGGGGGCTGAGATCTGAGGATCGCAGTTCAAAGCCAGCCTGGGCAAGAGAGACCGTGAGACTTCTATCTCCAATAAACCACCAGAAAACCGGAAGTGGCGCTGTAGCTCAAGTGGTAGAGCGCTCGCCTTGAGCTGAAGAGCTGAGAGACAGCGCCCAAGCCCAGAGTTCAAGCCCCACGACCAAAAAAAAAAAAAAGAGTCTCTAATTAAAAGAGTCTCCAGATAAAAGTTTGGGAACCTTTCTGCCCAGGCTGGCTGCAAACTGCGATCCTCAGATCTCAGCCTTTTGAGTAGCTAGGATTACATGCATGAACCATCAGTGCTTGGCTTGATCTTTTATTTATTGTTTTTTAGTCATGGCTCTTGAACTCTGGGCCTGTGCACTGTCCCTGATATCCTTTTTTTTTTTTTTTGTCGGCCGTGGGGCTTGAACTCTGGGCCTGGGCGCTGTCCCTCAGCTCTTCAGCTCAAGGTGAGTGCTCTACCACTTGAGCTACAGCACCACTTCCGGTTTTCTGGTGGTTTATTGGAGATAGGAGTCTCACGGTCTCTCCTGCCCCGGCTGGCTTTGAACCACGATCCTCAGATGTCAGCCTCCTGAATAGCTAGGATTACAGGCGTGAGCCACTATCGCCCGGCCCCTGATATCCTTTTGCTCAAAGTTAGCACTCTACCAGTTGACCCACAGCACCACTTCTGGCTTTTTCAGTGATTAATTAGTGATAAGAGTCTCACAGACTTTCCTGCTCAAGCTGGCTTCGAATCATGTTCCTCAGATCTCAGCCTTCTGTGTGGCTAAGATTACTAGCCTGAGCCACTGGCACCTGGCTTGATCTTTTCATCTTAACTGAGCTATTTCTTGTGTGGATTGTTTGTGGGTGAAGTATTAATTAACTCTCTACCCAGGAAGTAAGGCAGGAGAGTAAGTAAATACTGCACAGGTTCATATAAAACCCAGCAGGGATGCTTCCAGCTGGGATGTGTTGTACCCACTAATGTCTCTCATTTGACAACAAATAGTCATGTTGTCCCCATGGATAGAGTCACTGACATAAGACAGAAGTAAGAAGGGTTTTTTTTTCCTTGCTGATAGTGGGAAGGACATTTGATCTTGTCACAGCCTGAGATTGTCTTTAGTTCTCCTAATTTTTACTAATGGCATTATTTCTACGGCTTTGTGCAGAGTCTTTTGGTGTTGGTTAGTAGGAGGATACAATAGGCAGTACTTTCTGAGCTGGGCTGTTATAATTGCTGACACTTTGTAGACAGTGGTTTGTACCATGTGGTGTGAATTGAGGATACAGTCACGAAGCTTCACTTTATTCTAGTTACTGAACTTCCTTTTCTTTGTTTCATTTTCACTGCTGATAACTGAGAAGATGGGTAAATGATTTCAGATACAGTTCCAGGTCTTGGCTGTCTGATCTGAGAGGTGGTAGTGTTCCCTGGGGCTAATATTCAAAACGTGGTGATGTTCTTGAAGCTTGGCACCATGACTGTGGTGTCAAACAAGCTCATAGTGAAAGAAAAGGAAATGGGAATTCTTTGCAAAAATGGAGGCTATTCTTGGCCAATGTTGTGTGTGTGTGTGTGTGTGTGTGTGTGTGTGTGTGTGTGATGTGTGTGGTATCTGCTTATGAATATATAGAAAATGCTATAAATCTTGCTTGGAAAGTAGTAAAAATGGGTGCTTGGAAGACAGAGCCATTACATGGTACACTTGAATGTTTTTGAGTGTTGTCCCAGATCTGGACACAGTAGAGAACAAAAGAGTGGCTAACAGTGGGGTCCCTGAGGGTTTCAGGTCTTTTGGTATGTAAGGAATTAGGACAGATGGTTTTGTTTTTATTTTTGTTTTTTATTTTTTGTTGGTTGTGAGGCTTGAACTCAGGGCCTAGGCACTGTCCCTGAGCCTCTTTGTGCTCAAAGCTAGTACTCTACCACTTGAGCCACAGTGCCACAGCTCCACTTCCAGTTTTTGAGTGGATAATTGGAGCTAAGAGTCTTATGGGGACTTTTCTGCCAGGTTGGCTTCAAACCATGATCCTCAGATCTCAGCCTCCTGAGTAGCCAGGGTAAAAGGTGTGAGCCACTGGTGCCTGGGTTTTTTTGTTTTTTGTTTTAATTGAAAATACCATAGAGAGGGGTTACAATTACACGGGCAAGGTAATGAGTGCATTTCTTCAAGCATGGTTGCCTCCTCCTTTGTTTCCCCTTACCACCCACCAACCCCCCTTACGCCCCCTTCCCCCCCCCCACTGCCACCCCTGGTGCCAACAAAGTTGTAAAGTTTGTTTTCGACATAACATCTTGTACATTTCATTGTTGCAATGCGTCCACCTGTATCCCCATTTAAACAATTTGTTTTTTCCCTTCTCCTCCACAAATTATAGCGACATCAAATACAGTGAAAGCAGGGGTTATACTGTGCGGGAGGGACATGCAAAGCAACAAAGAAATATCTTATAAATATCTTAGAAACAATAGTCAGACGGGCTGGGAAGGCGGCTCAGTGGTAAAGCGCTTGCCTTGCATGCCAGAGGCCCCGGATTCGATTCCTCAGCACCACATAAGCAAAAAGAAAAAAGCCAGAAGTGGCGCTGTGGCTCAAGTGGTAGAGTGCCAGCCTTGAGCTGAAGAGCTGAGGGACAGCGCCCAGGCCAAGAGTTCAGGTCCCATGACCGGACCCCCCCTCCAAAAAAAAGAAACAATAGCCAGAAAGAAAAAGCATTTGAATCCTTATCTTGGGGTTCATTTCACTTAACATCAACTTATCTGACCATTTCTTCTTATCTCAGACATATACTAGTTATTGCAAATAAGGGAAACCATGGAACCTATGTTTCTTTGGGCCTGGCTTACTTTTTTTTTTTTTTAAATAAGCAGTTGAGCAAACAAGTTATAGTTCCATAAGTGAGGTTATGAATACAGTGCATCTTGATTGATGTCCCACCTTCCATCATTCGCCCCCATCTTTCCCCATCTCATCTCTGCTCTCAGTTATGGAGTTCAATTTTTATACAATGTACATTGAATATAATGACTGCATTTGATCTGTTTTGTTTGTTTTGTTTTGTGCTGGTACTGAGGTTTGAACTCAGGACCTGGGTGCTGTCCTTTAACTTTTTCACTTAAGGCTGGTGCTCTATTACTCAGCTTCCAGCTTCTTGCTGATTTTCTGGATATAAGAGTTTCACAGACTTTCCTGGCTGGGCTGGTTTTGAATCACCATTCTCAGATCTCTCAGCCTCTTAAGTAGCTACAGTTACTAATATCGGCCATGAGCTCCTGGCTGTGTTTCCTGTTTTGGTGTTTCTGAAAGCCTGAGAAGACATAATGCCCCTTTCTGGCAGTTTCTTCAAGAGCTTTGTTTAGAGTCAGGGTACATGTGCATCTTCTACTTGTCATTATGTTCACCATTTCTTCTGCTGCTGTGACATATCTTTGCCCTCATTTGGTAAACTGAAAACCAGAGAACACTTATCGATTGATTTGTTAATGACTCAATACCACCAGCTTGCCTTTTACCATTTGCTATTTGCCTGAATAATGAATACCTACGTGTTCTATAGTATGATATTTACTTAGTGAGCCAGTGATAAAAGTTAAATAGATGTATGCATATTGATTTCCCATGGGAAGTCTCTGGTGGTGGTCCTGAGAGCAGTATTGGCATGAATTAATGCAATACTGTTCAATTTGCATTTT